TACTTCCTTTACTACACTTGCACTGACAAGTTGCGACCTTCGAGCCAGAGCTGCCAAAGTGTATCTCCTTGTACTGAAAAGTTGCGACTTTCGAGCCAGAGCTGCCAAGGTGTATTTTCGTTACTGCACTTGTACTGACAAGTTGCGACCTTTGAGCCGGAGCTGCCAAAGTTTCCTTGTACTGAAAAGCTGCGACTTTCGAGCCGGAGCTGCCAAACTACACTTGCACTGACAAGTTGCGACCTTCGAGCCGGAGCTGCCAAAGTGTATCTCCTTGTACTGAAAAGTTGCGACTTTCGAGCCAGAGCTGCCAAGGTGTATTTCCGTTACTGCACTTGTACTGACAAGTTGCGACCTTCGAGCCGGAGCTGCCAAGGTTTCCTTGTACTGAAAAGTTGCGACTTTCGAGCCGGAGCTGCCAAAGTGTATTTCCTTTACTGCACTTGTAGTGAAAAGTTGCGACTTGCGAGCCGGAGCTGCATTGCTGGATTTCCACACGTCAACGCGGTAGAATTTGGCACCTGGCAATCCATTTGTATGTTGGCAAACTCTTGTCTTTCACCCTGACAAGTCGTGGGACACAAAAGAGCCACGGACAAAACACGTGTAGACCACTTTGGTAAAGGGGGTACTCTTTGGCCTACGACTCCAAAAAGCCACGGACAACGATACGGTCTCCCCCAAAAACGATAACCGTTAGTTAACACGTGGCTCTACAATGACCCCTGCAGTTGCAGCTTAGTTGGGGTGGGACCCTTGCGTGGCCTCCGCAAAGCGCTAAGCTGAGTCGCGACTTGTGTTCTTCGCGCGTGCTCGGCTTGTACTACAAAGTTGCGATTTTCGAGCTGGAGCTGCGGAAGTGTGCTTCGCGCACTAGACTTGCACTACAAAGTTGCGATTTGGAAGTGCTTCGCGTACTAGACTTGTACTACAAACTTGCGATTTTCGAGCTGGAGCTGCGGAAGTGTGCTTCGCGCACTAGACTTGCACTACAAAGTTGCGATTTGGAAGTGTGCTTCGCGTACTAGACTTGTACTACAAAGTTGCGATTTTCGAGCTGGAGCTGCGGAAGTGTGCTTCGCGTACTAGACTTGTACTACAAAGTTGCGATTTTTGAGCTGGAGCTGCGGAAGTGTACTTCGCGCACTAGACTTGTACCACAAAGTTGCGATTTTCGAGCTGGAGCTGCGGAAGTGGGCTTCGCGCACTAGACTTGCACTACGATTTTCGAGCTGGAGCTGCGGAAGTGCACTTCGCGTGCTAGACTTGTGTGCTACAAAGTTGGGATTTTCGATCTGGAGCTGCGGAAGTGTACTTCGCGTAGCTAGACTTGTGCTACAAAGTTGCGATTTTCGAGCCGGAGCTGCCAAAGTTCGAAAACACTGTAACACAATAATAACGTTCAACAAAGTACTAGGGCCAAGTAAAGCATCACCTATCCACGCAAGCTCCATGTAAGCCAGTCCACCGCACACCCTTCCTCCATCATAGGCTCACTGGGTTCTGCAAGTTTCTACGCTTAGTGAAGACTTGACACGTGTGCTTCCATGAACATTCGAGAAAGCGTATGTAGCCCTTTGATGTTCTGTTCGCTTGCCCAAAGCCAGAGAGCCCCATGTGCGACCTGTTGACCGCTGTTTTGGGTTTCAGGGTGTGGCAGGTGTGTGCTAACTGTTCAGGGTTGACGGGGCATTCCGGCCAACACTGTAATGTGCTATCTGCCTAGGAAAAAAGTGCTAACTGATTGATACGCACTATACTACACGTGTGCTGAAAAGTTTCGACTTTCAAGCTGGAGCTGCCGAAGTGTACTTTCTTTACTACGCTTGTACTGGACTTTCGAGCCGGATCTGCCAAATCTACTTCCTTTGCTACACAAAGTTGCGATTTTCGAGCCGGAGCCGCCAAAATGCCTTTACTACGCTTGTACTGAAAAGTTGCGACTTTCGAGCTGGATCTGCCTTTACTGCATTTGTACTGAAAAGTTGCGACTTTCGAGCCGGAGCTGCCAAGGCATACTTCCTTGTAGTGAAAACTTGAGACTTCCGGGCAGGAGCTGCCAATGCGTACTTCCTGTACTACACTTGCACTGAAAAGTTGAGACGTCCGGGCTGGAGCTGCCAATGCGTACTTCCTGTACTACAGTTATACTGAAAAGTTGCGGCTTTCGAGGCGGAGCTGCCAAAGTGTACTTCCTTTACTACACTTGTACTGAAAAGTTGCGACTTTTGAGACGGATCTGCCAAGTGTACTTCCTTTACTACACTTGTACTGAAAAGTTGCGACTTGCGAGCCGGATCTGCCAAGTGTACTTCCTTTACTACACTTGTACTGCATTGCGAAAGTTGCTCGTTTCAGAAAGCGTATCTCTGCCCACAACCAGAGAGGCATGTGCTAACTGTTGGTCGCCCCTTTCGGTTTCGGGGTGTGGCAGGTGTGTGCTAACTGTTCGGGGCTGACGGGGGCATTCCGGCCAACCCAGGGATGTGCTAACTGTGCCGCCTGCTAAAAAGTGCTAACTGATAGATACGCACTATAGGTTAGTCAGGTTTTGTTGTAGCTTGAACAATAATGCCACATATCAGCCTATAGTTTACCAAAAGCTTATTGCGTCCCAAGTAGTGAATGGTCACACTAACATGTTTCTTGGCAAGCTCGCCGGGGGGGGGGGTAACGTGAGCTGACCGTGAAGGTTTTTTGCTAGGCGATCGGGGTGGGGCAGCATTGGGTAGAACAACCTGAGCAAGGTACCCCCGGTTTTGGGGTCTTTGGGTTCTTGGGCCACTTAGGCGCGCAGATTTTATTGGTGGGGGTGGCGTTCTCAAAACTACTTGTAGTTGCAGACGTAGTGGATCTCAGGGCATTGAAAGTTTGGCTCAAAGCGGCGGCCGGAGACCCTATCAGTGAAACTCACTTTTGGGTGGTTGTAAACTTCACCTGTTTTGCGCGATGGAGGGTGAGTTTCCCTTGGCAGGGTGAGGTTTTGAGGGGGGATTGCGGTTGCGTCCGGCGGACTTTCGTCACTTGTTGGGTCACAACTTGAGTGGTAAATAGAACACGTGTCTCCACTTGTTCTGCGAGAGTGAGAGTTGAAACCTATGAGGGTGCACAGGTGGTTGGTTGACCCAGCCCCTGCAAAACCCCCGTTTCACTTGGGTGGGGCAAGCGGGGTAAGCTTTCGGGCCACTGGTTGCTCAATCCCACGTCCCAGATTCGGGGTTTGAGCTCTTTACTCGTGGCTCCTTTGCTTCACCTGGTGGTTCCCAGCCCTGCGGTTCCTTAGGTTTCTAGGGCCCCAAGTTAAACTTTGAGCAGGGATCTGATCTGGCTTTCCCAGGAAGTGAGTTCAGCGCAACCTGTAAGAGGCCCTGCTCAGACCGGCGGGACTTCAAACACCTGCTGCCCCCAAACGCTGCAGATCCTCGGGGAGGGGATGGGGGCACCACCAGAAAGAATGCAGGAAGTGAACTGAACTGATTTGGAGGGGTTTGCTTGTGAGGTGGTTGTTGGATGCATCCTTTGAACCCTGTGCATGGGCTCAAAAACCCACCGAACCTCAGAATTCGGCTCTGCCGGACCGTTCCAAGCAAAGCCGCGAGGCAGCGAAGAACCTGAACCCGGGGCAATGGAGCCACCCGGCGCTCGGAGGTCGAGCCGGTTTTCTTGTGTCCGCCGGGTTTTTTGGATGTTATCTTGATTGCTATTGGCAGGGTAGCGGATCTTTAGACTTCAACTTGTTGGTTGACTTCAAGTTAAACTTTTCGCAGAGGCGTCAACAGCAAGCAAGGTATCTGCCTAAGTTATGACCCCAGCTCAGCGATAAGCTGGAGTGCGTGCGGCCTTCACCATGAAGGTCCTTACGTGGGGATCTTCTGGAATAGTAAAATGTGTAGGTGTTGTACTCACTCACGACGGTATACTTTTTGGGGTTGGACCATTTTACTGCTTCGGAAGGAAGTGGTGATGTACTAACTTGGTTAGTAGCTTCTAGTCGGGTTGGCAAAGTTCATTGACTTTGCTTGGCCAATCCACTCGAGCGGAAGTGAGCACAAGCAAGCTTGTAACTGGTGTAACTGGGGCTAGTTCCCTGCTAAGCCAGGGTTACAACCTACTAACCTGACCTTGGTTGGACACCCAAATAGACCTTGGCGAAACAATGAGTGCCGTTTTTTGTTTTTTGTTTTTTTTAATGTGCAAGAACCACCGAAAGGACACCAGCCACGTTGGGTCCCCCTTTGATACACACCCAAATTTGGCTTTTCCGTTGGGTCGTTCGGGGGCCTTGGAGCAAGCCAAAAGCCATGGCGAATTCGCACTGCTTTGGTTTGTTGGCAACTTTGCAAACCCAAGAATGGGATCTTGTTTGAGAGTATTGAAATCAGGACTCTCAAATTTGGATCTGTCGTCGTTTTTGGAGGGTACCCAATGTTGATGGTTGTGCAAAGGGAAACCAAAAGGAACTCCCATTTTGGGGAGGCCGATTCCAAAAGAAAAGACGCCGAAACACCATCTTCGAAGCTGAAGAGAGGCTAAAGTATGCAAGTGGTTCCTGGCTTTTCGGGCGAGGCATTTGGGCGGGCGATGCATGAAAGTTGGCATGCCAATATCAGGTATCGGCCGCATGTGGCTAGGTGGCTATTTTTTAGTAAAGGTTCCAAAAGGTCAACCTTATATTTCTGGGTCCCTAGGGGGCAACTGAGACTTATGGGGTTAACATGGTGAATCCTCAAAGTCCACCTGTTTTGCAAGCTCCTTATGGGTGGCTGGGTCTGGTAGTCTTGGGGCAATGGTACTGGGCCTATGGGCCTATGGGCTTTCAGCTCTAAGCCCATCCTGGGTGTGACGGGGCCCCTTTGGCTTGGTGCGATTCCCAAGCCACTAAGCCCAGGGACACCGGGTCCAAGTCGCCCGGAGCCCGGAGCAGCGGCTCTTGAGGCGACTTGGCCACATCTGAGATGGGGATCCACATCTTCCAGCGGATTGCGTGAGTCCCCCGGGTTTGTCCTGTGGATGGGTGGCGAAGTCCTCTCAGGCACCGTTCAGAGACCCGGGTTTCTGATTCGATCCCCCAACGGAAGTGCCAAGAAACGTTATGGTTTCAGCCATGGTGTCCAAGCGGTGCGAACGGATTGCGTCCATCCACAGTAGTATGTCTCACAGTGGCGAGCGGCGGTAGTGAAGTGCGGGAGCTGCAGCAATTCCGAGCGCAGAACAAGGCTTGCTGCCGGACGATGCTCATTTTTCTACATTGCAGCTGCGCCCGAAATATTAAAAACACAAGACCTTGCGAATGAGACTGAACAACTATGCCTTCTTCATAGACGATCTCACGAAAATCCAGCTCCCCTGTCGCAACGATTTGATCCCATGGAGAGGCGCAGCTACAGAACCCTCCACCTCTCCCACACCCTCCCCCGATGACATGGAGCCCAACAAACTGGAGTTCAAACCCCTTTCTCAGAGTAGAAGTCCCACGCAAGGAACCAAGATGCCACATTAACGTTGAGCTTGTTCTGACACAACCATCAACCTGCTTATTTGTCCGGCAGTTTCTTGATTGCTATTGCGTTGGATCTTTAGACTTTAAAACTTTTTGGGAAATGAAGGGTCTTCCATTGGACAGGAAGGGTCTTCCATTGGACCCACAACTTGTTTTTGCCAAGATTTGGAGGTCCTCCTATATTTCGCGGGGTATGGCGTGCCGGATCCCGATGTCTCATAGTGTTCAATGGGGCCTTTTACCAAGGGTCAATGAGCCCCCCCCCCTTTCCTCTGAATGTCCCTATGTTGGCCCTATTTCCAGGTTTCATGGGGTAGTATTTCGGCTTTTCTCCGAACCAAACTGTCAGCTCGGGCAGTGGCAGGGTTCCCCGTATTTCCACCTGTGAAGGGTGGTTCATGTAAAGTGTGTGCAAGCTTTGGCACGCTCAATGCGACCTGGTAGCTCACTGAGGCTGATCGGGGCAGATCCCCAAGGCACGGGAGGGTCAGTCGGACGTAGACTAGGTCCCCTAGTAGTGCCCTTGTACCCCCTTTTTTGGGGGAGGGTTCCCCTACTAAAATAGACTACAGAAAAAAGGCTACCCTTATTCTAACCTCTCTCCTGGATATCTTGGCTGATAGTTGGATTTTTCGACTTTAACCTCCCTCCAATGATGAAATCTGGCAGCGGCTTAGAAGAGTTCTTTGGGGAGGTTCCGATCATCCACTTCCATGATTAGAGGGTAACTTTTTGGAGCATGTGCGTGTGCCCCAAGCAAAGAAGTTGAAATTGGGAGTTGGCCTAAGGAAAACCAAAGGGAAGGCGTTAAGACACACACGCACATCTTCCATTACACATTTCCACTACACAAGAACCCATGCTGAGCAGAGATGATTTTCCTGAGGCTCAGGTACAGGTCCACAGGTTCCACAGGCTGTTTGGGGAAAGAGAGGGAGAGAGAGAGAGAGAGAGAGAGACGCAGATCCCGCCAGATTTTTCCACAAACAGGGCTGAGGAAACAAAGCAGCTGGACCAGTCGTCTAATGGATAAGGTGTCTTTGTTGCAAGCGATTGTCGCTTGACACACATGTCAATGGTGGTGGAGTCCACCCTGGTCCGTTTGCTCCTCTGTGTTTTTGTCTCTGTCTGTGTTTCGTGTTTTTCTCTCTGTGTCTTTGTCTCTCTGTCACTGCTCTGTGTCTCTGGAGTGCATTCTCTCTGCTCTGTGTCTCTCTCTGCGCTGTGTCTCTCTCTGTCTCCGTCTCTGTATCTCGCTGTGCCCAGCACCCCAACGACAACCGTACAGAGGGGGAGCGCAAGGTGGAGGGGCTGGCAGGTTGAGCCCAAGGGCAACGAGTGTTCGACTGCAAGCTGGGCCCCACTTTGCAAAGCCTTTTTGTTTTTTGCGACGTGGGTCACCTGAGCCCCGGTGATGTTTGCAGCCTTGGCTTGCAAACGCTCAGAACCGCGCAGCTCAGCGGAGCAACTCCTGCCTGCTCCAGCACCCCAAACTGCGTGCCTCGTGGCACCTTGCCGCTAATGATCTCAAGAACAAAATGCCGTGTCCGCAGTTCCAAGAAATACAAATACCCAACATTGCCTTGCACTTAACTCTAATGCACAACAAGCTTAATGAACCCATGCTTGAGTCTAGCATGTGGTATCAATGTGCCTCAAGAAAAGGCACAACTCACAATTATAATATGATGGGATTGCTTTCATCTAACAGGTGTTATCACTGCTACAAACATTCCTACAAAACCATATCGACTTTCAAGTTTCGCTCATCTACGTGAGGGAACCAGCTGTCTATGCAGCCTTCAAGACCAGCTTCTTTCTCACAAAAGAAGGCCAGTAAGTGTTTAAACTAGCCATGGCGTGCCTGTAGATAGAAATAATTTGAATCATTGAACCTTAACGCGATTAACTGCTGTATCGGCAGCCTATCCCGAAATTTAAGCCTGCAGTTTGGGGTGCTAGTGCAGGTGCTGTTTGAGGGGCATCTTTGCATGCGGCGCTTTTTTTTCGGGATTGGCGGCCGGGTGCTCGGGGGGTGATGCTTGGGCTGTTCGGGGTGTGGTTGGATGCTGGTGACGGCACAGACGCGTTTTTGCGAGATTGACCGCCGGGTGTTTTTTAGTTTTGTCCAGAAAAAGGTCCAAATCTCATGATATGTGTCAATATTTATTGATATCCGGGTCCTAATCATCGATACTTGGTCCCAATGTTTGAAAAGAAGCCAGTCTTGCTGAGCTTGCTCAGCATAGTTGGCCGATAAGTCTGAGAATTAGCAGCAACCTCAGCGTGAAATGGGTCCAATCACACGTCCACAATCCCAACTTCTACCCAACATCTTGCAGCTAAAGGCTGCATGACCAACAACAATTGCTTGTCATCATCTTACATCTTATTTGCAGCTGGAGGCTGCAATCTTGCCAAACTAGCATCACACACATCATCGCATCTTATGGACACAATGTATGTGACAACTTCCTTTCTCTGCAGCTGGAGGCTGCAATCACCAACACAAACCAATATCACGTCTCTTGCGCAAACTCTTCGTATCAATGCGTCATGCACATTGTCTACGCAACTTCTTATCACTACACATCAGCTGCACATTATCAACTACATCTCTTTGCCAACTCAACAATGCAAAGCAGGTTCATCCCTTAGCTCGATACACACTTCTTATGGTCGCCACAAGTCGATACAATGCAGGTACATCTCTTAACTCGATACACATCATTACACAACTTCATACCTCTCTTTTCTCATCACACACTAGCAGCAATCTCAGTTCCAACTTATGGCCAACACAACTCGGTACACATTATGGTGCACACACCTTAGTTTGAGGTGTGAAGCACCTTATCTAGGCCCCCCAGTAGTGCCCTTTTACCCTTTTTTTGGTTGGGAGGGTTCCCCCTACTAAACTAGACTACAGCAAAAAGGTGGTACCCTTGTTCTAACCTCTCCACCGGAGGACTTAGTCATCCAAGCAGTTTTTTAATGAGCACCGGCAAGTCATGTGAAGGTCGAATCGCCAGGTCCCAAGTCCGACCTTGGCCGCTTGCCAGGCCAACGCATGCCCACATGGCGCGGCTCTAAGTGCCCCGCTGTTTTGGTTGCCGTGGCCCTGGTTGTCTACATTTGTTCGAGGGCGCCCGAAAACGGACTCGGTTTTTGCCAAGAAAGGATGTTAAACTGTAGGGGAGTAACACTGGGAAGACCAGCAAACCCACGATCCTCTCAGGAAGCCAAAGGCTTAAAAGGGTTTGTTCCTTTCAACCCGAACTCTCGAGCCATTGCCGTAGCCTCAAGTGACATGAATCGACCTGAAGTGACATGTTGTTTTTTCTGTTATTTCGGCCCACCAATTCACCAATGAATCAATGGTCGCTATTGGCGGCTATCGCACCAGTGACAGCTGGGTTGCTATGGCTCATCAGCATGTTGTTCTTTCACACGGTGAGAGTAGATTGCACAATCCCCTTGTGGGTACCTTGTTCATTTTTAGTAGGGTGTTGCAACAAGCACACAACAAACAAAAGCGCTGTTTGCAAACCCATACCAAGGGTTGCAAAGGGAAGCCGGGGGGGGGACCATGCCCGCAGCTTTCGTTTCAAGGCGTCGCCCTCTCCGGGGAGAACGCCGCAAGCCAGGCCGTTTGGGTTAAACGGAGCCTGTGGACATCATTTGACTTGGGGGCTCCCAGCCATCCGGTTCCCTAGCTTTTGAGCTTTTTAGTGTTTAGTGGTAGTTTCATTTTGGGTACCTATTTTGACCCACTGAGGTGGTTCGCTATGAAAAATCACATGAGCCCTGCAATGCGAGGCCTGACTCCCGAAGTTGATGCGTTTTGGGTCTGGGCAGTTTTGGTGGCTCCCACTTCCACCGTTGTTTTTGTTGAAGCAAGTATGACAAGATCTTGGTAGGCCATTTGTGTGCCAAATGGCTCATTTGTTGGAAAAAAACATATTCTGACCATCGCATCTTCCGTACCACAGCTTGGGCTAGGATGTCGAGCGATGCAGAGTCACTGACTGACTAACTGACCTGACGAAAGTGAGATGGATGCAGTTGAAGCAAGCCTCCAAATTTTGCTTGTGCCTTGAACATGTCTTTGGTGCATTTTGCTTGGATGTTAGGACTTTAACTTTTTGCAGCCTAATGGGTTTTCCATCAAACCACTAAAAGTTAAACTTTTATAGCAGGGGAGCAGAAAGCAACCGAGATGTCCTAGCATTGATGTACATTTATAAGCCAGGCCCATATCTTATCTTTTTGGGCTGGGGTGAGCCTCCAACCGTTGTCAAAGAGTTGAGGGGCGCCCAACATGGATCTACCTGGTTGGTTTTCCTTTGTCTTTCCTGCGAAATCGGCCCACAAAGGGCTTCCTCGGCCAAAGGCATGCCTGGATGCTTCTGTTTTTGGGCGACCCTTGTTCCATGGCAGCACGTCCATATATTTGTCCAGGCTTGTTACGCAGAATGTTTTGCGATATGCTTGGGTCAAGAGAAGGGTTCCTTGTTTGACAACTGAACGACTTTCTCAGTGGAGGTCACGGGGCCCGCATGCACTCCTTAGGGGTCAGGATTGGCCTTTCGGTTTAATCCACCCAAGTGGGGAGTCCGCCGACTGGGCTGTGCGAAGGCAATCCTTAATCCTTACCCTGCTTGCGAAAGAATAAGCTCCACTTTACAGTGGCTTTCCACTACTTTACGGGTATTGAACTTTTTGGGACACTTCCCATTGGACCCACAACAAACAGCAACCAAGACTAGGGATTGAGGACTGACATTTTGGACAGCCCAGGTAAAAGCTTCAACCAATTTTGTTTAAAGAACTGCTCCTTTCCAGGCCCCTTGTAAAGGTTTGTTTTGACGTTGGTGGGAGGGTCCACATGGCTTGGCCTTTGCTAGGCTCAGGACTATAAGCAACACCCAAGCCACATCCCTGTGACCGTGGGCTAGCTTCGTGCCTTCTATTGATTTTTTCACTTTGGCACTTGCTTGGTGGTAAACCTCAATTGTCCAAACAGAATCGAGATTCTGCTCACTTGCCCCAAGCAAATCGACCTGATCTGATCTCTCCTGGTTTTCCCCATCTTCATTGTTTCGTCTTTCGGTGCCACAAGGTGATCACCTTTTTCAGCTTCCGGGTCCCAAACTACAACTGAGTTGCACCTTGTCGCAGTCCACTCCCCCAGCTAGAGCCAGGTGCCCGCTCTTTCACCCCTTTTTTGGTTGGGAGGGTTCCCCTACTAGCATAGACAGAAAAAGGTTGGTACCCTTCTTCTACCTTCTCCACTGAATGACCTAGTTCACCTTCCGGCCGTCCACTCCCAATTTTTTCGAAATTTCCGTAGCTCGAATTGGGCCAGGCGAGCCCCTCAGCGCTTCTTTCAGCCGAGGAGCTGGGTTGGGTTGGCCTCAGAAGCAAACGCGCGCGCCGGGCGTGGAAGCCACGGTTTTTGGGTGAAAGGTAGGGAGGGGTCCATTTCTTGCGACAGGCATAATAATTGAAATGAGCCGGCTGCCTGTCACAGCGGTCAGGCAGCGCTGCCCCGAATGCCATGTAAATTGTCCTGCTTGGATGTTCAACCAACTTAGTAGGCACCAACCATGGTTAGCGGTGTACATGGGTTCATCGTCCCTCCTACAATAAGCTACTTGCATCCATTACATATGGAACTTCAGAATTGGGGGAGGAGGGTGGCTTCTGGAACATGCGATTTCTGGTTGCATTTCCCGCTGGGGAAGACTAGATACATGGAGGCCTGAAGTGAAGAACCCCATGAATCCGCTTGATTATTTTCCACATCCGAGGAGAAATGGGTGTGTGGTTTTCTGGAACCCCAAGAATGGTGGTGTTCCTTTTGACGTCCTTTGAAAACAAAACAACACACTGCCTGAAGTAATGGACTGACTGACAGACCGTATTTTCTAAATGGAAAGTTCAGCATTGGTTTGACCCATCCACTCAGGAAGTGAGACAACAAAACTTGAGTGAGACAACAAAACTTGGTGGCTCCCAGCCATCCCCTTAGCTTTATAGCCTTTTAGTGTTTAGTGGTGGTTTCCATTTAACCCACTAAAGTTAAACTTTTAGCAGGGGATCTGAAAACATGTCGCACAGGACTGATGCCGCCAGGCCAGGGCTTCCAACGCGGAGGGGCGGACTCCAAGTCTTCTCACCCCTGGGCTCTTCTGGGCCGAGGAGAGAGAGGCGCCACGGTAGGTTCTTGTCCATGTCTATGACTAGGTCCCCCAGCTAGGTGCCCTTTCTTTCACCCCTTTTTGGTTGGGAGGGCAAGCCCCTACTAAAACAGACTCAAGAAAAAAGTTGGTACCCTTATTCTAACATCTCCACTGGAGGACCTGGGTAGGTTCTTGTGGCTTTCCGGAAGCCAAGCTAAACAAAAGCCACCCACGTCTATGATTTTTGCATCGACCCTGCAAGCCATACGTGCCACATGGGGTATATGATGTGTGGCCTGGAGCCCCTGAAAACAACGCAAGGGCTAGCTAGAACGATGCCAAGATATGTAGATAGAATAATGAATAGGCAGATAGGGGGACGGCTCGGATGGCAACATGGATAGATAGATTGGTTTAGAGCCGAAAAGATTTGACAAGATTGTATCAGATAGATTGAGTCGAATTGATCAGATTGCGTTAGATAGGTAGTTGAGGGATAGAGATAAAGATAAAGCGATAGACAGATGATGGACATTAGTTAGCTAGGCATATAGATTACATTAGACTAGATTAGAATAGATAGCTACTTAGATTCGTTCAAGTTCATAGATTGGAGAGATAGATAGACAGACAGACAGACAGATGGACAGATAGACAGATGGACAGATAGACAGATAGATAGGAAGGTAGGCAGGTAGGTAGGCAGGTAGGTAGCAGGTATATAGATACAGAGACAGATAATTAGGTGGATAGATGTTCAGATGGGTAGGTCGACAGACGGATAGACAGATACATGAACTTGATGCACAAAAGTGTTGCATGGATGAATAGGCCTTTTCAGATGAATAGAACATCAATAGGCCTAACAGGCAGAATAAGAAGACACACGGGCAACGGAAGCTTTGCGCAGAGACTGAATTTGTCATTCGTAGACAATGGCAAGAGAGAACTCAAAGCGTGTCCATCCCGGGCGAGACGGAAGTCTTGCGCGCTGTGTCACTGTTCGACTTGAGGCGTGCAGTTGGTTCAAGGCACAGTCCCAGGATCGTTTTCCCGACCGCATTTTTTTCTCTCCCGATGGAGTGCCGGCTGCGGTCGACTGGAGATTTCATCATCATACCTGACCCCTTCACCACGCCAGGCACGCATGTCGCCACCTATGCCTGCTTCTACGCCATCTCCGGCACGATGCTGATCTGCATGTTGGTAGTGATTTGGCTCCTATCCAGGAGTTTGGAAAAAGGTAATCAAATACATGTGCACTGGGCTTCGCTATGTAGGCGCCCCTTTTTGTCGGATGCCTTCTACTTGGGCTTCTTCTTCTTGGGCTTCTTGGGTTTCGCCTTTCTTGCCGCGGCTGCGCAGACCCAGCCGGCGGGCGACAATGGCGTCATGTTGGTGGCAGAGATTCTTCAATGTTTGTCCTGGATGTGCTTACTTCTCAACAGCTGCTGCATTCTTGAACAATTGCAGGTGAGAAGAGCTGGGCGGGTTTCAATGTGGCTAGCCTGCCTCTTGGTGCTGTTATTAGCTGTGCTGGATTTGGCCATGTCACTTGGCCCACATTTCATTGGGACAGCAAGTCTTTCCAGCCTCAGCGCGGCACTATGTGTGCCTGCATTTACACTTGCTCACGAAGAGACAAAGACGGCTGCGCCCGCCTTCAAGGCAGGCCTGTGCTTCATGTATTTCACCAGCTATTTGGTGATCGCGGCCTTGGAGCCGTTTTGTGGCTATGCTGCGCACCCCACCTGCTACTCGTTGTGCAACCTTGGCTCGCCGGGCGCCCATGTGGCTGTTGCGACTCCCCTCTTGTTGCTCGCAGGCCCATTCCTTTGCTTTATGCAAACCACTAACCCGGATCAGGCCTCTGGGCCGCGCATAAAACCTGTGCCACCAGACGCTCCTGCTTCTGCTTCTTGGTTTAAGAACAAGGTTTTCCATCGAGGCCGTGTTTTTGTTTGGTTTTGTTGTTGTTTGCGAAACACCACACTTTTGCAAGTTGAGCATCGGTTTGGCGGTAGCTTGCCAACACTTAAAGTGGCAATTTTACCCGTCTAAACGGCAAGTCGCAGGACCCGGACCCGGACCCGGAGCCAGAGCCCACCGGCCGCGACGAGGAGACATGAGCACGCTTGCTCGCACACTTTTCAAGCTAGGAGAACAGCTGGCTGGTTGATGGTTTCACTCCTATATAAGGCCGGCAAGAGTCGAAGACTCATGCCCATGAGTTTTACCATGCTTCAAGTCCTTGCGACCCCCAACTGGGTTTTGGACAGGCGTAAACGGAAAGGACTCATAGCTTGCTGACCAAGTTTCAGGACTTGATACTCTTTGGGGAGACTTGTTCAGTGTCAAACACATTTTTTTCTCGAAAGCACTGCAAGGATTCTACCGGTCAATCGTTGGCCTTATCGCGCATAGCAAGAGAAAGGGGAGAGCACATGCAGAGCAAGCTGCAGGAGCCCACGCACTGCAAGAGCCACGAGAGCGCATGCCGAGCTCACGCGCAGAGCAAGATGCGCGAGAGCCCACGCGTAGCAAGGGGCACCAGGGCACATGCCCAACGCACGTACAGAGCTTCTCGCGCAGCAAGCTGCACGAGAAGTGCGGGAAGCAAACTGCGCGGGAGAGCAGGCGAACACGGGGAGCAAATTGCACACTTAGCCCGAGGTTTCTGCTACTTTTTGACTTGCGCGCGGCCCTCTGCATGGATCCAAGTGGCCGAGGTGCAAAAACTCGAGGTTTATGCCACTGGTAATGTTGGACTCTGTTTAGTGTGACCCCCCGCCACCCCCCGGAACAGTGGAACCAGTCGGCGGGACTCTCTTTAGGGAGATCCTGGGAAAATCTGGGAGGGACAGTACTTACTTTAGTATTGCCAATTCTACTTTAGTATTGCCAAGGCCCCCTCTCAGATTCCCAGTACTGACTTTAGTATTGCCAATTCTACTTTAGTATTGCCAAGGCCCCCTCTCAGATTCCCAGTACTGACTTTAGTATTGCCAATTCTACTTTAGTATTGCCAAGGCCCCCTCTCAGATTGCCTTTAGTATTGCTTCTACTTTAGTATTGCCAAGGCTGACTCTCAGATCCCCAGTACTTACTTTAGTATTGCCAATTCTACTTTAGTATTGCCAAGGGTCGTTTTTTCAGCAACCCCCGAAACCAGTTGGACACTAAAGAGGACCCCAAAACAGTCGCATTAAAGAGGATCTGGGCCTCTTGTGGGCACCCCCCTTTGTGTGACTGTTTGCCCGCACTTTTTTGTAAAGAAGTTATCTTAAATTTGATGGTTTGGGAACAACTTGCAAAATCGATTTTTCTAGATCTCAGGCCTTTAACCTTTGAGCTGGGGAGAGCTTAGGATGAGTCCCCTTCTTTAAAAGTAAAAGGCTGAGGCTTTGGTTTTCAGTTTTCAGCAACCCCGAAACCACTGGACACTAAAGAGGACCCCAAAACAATCGCATTAAAGAGGATCTGGGCCTCTTGTGGGCACCCCCCTTTGTGTGACTGTTTGCCCGCACTTTTTCGTAAAGAAGTTATCTTAAATTTGATGGTTTGGGGACCACTTCAAGAAAACAATTTCCCAATTCTGGCTCAGAACCAGCCTCCAGCTCAACAGGAGCTACCAAGGCTTAGCAAGTTTAGCCTGAGCCCGAGCAAATCTAGAAAGCGAAGAAAGAAGCTCTGCGTTTTTTGAGATTTTTCTGGGGGGGCAAAAAAACTTGCCACAATAGCGAACCGTTAAAACAGTCACAGGATTCTGAATTAGGGACAATTTTTCTACAATAGCGAGGACCAATAATAAAGGAGGTCCAACATTACGGCCCTGCGCTGCAAGGACCGGAGTGGTTGAGGTTCCAAAACTCCGTGTGTTTTGCCACTTTTTGCGGCGTGGTGATCGCAAGGTCAAAAACTCGACATGTTAACCTCTATTGTTGCGGCGCGCGCGGTCCTCTGTGCGGATCAGCGCGGTGGATGTGCAAAAGTATGGCTTTGTTGGTCCGTGCGCGCAAGTTTCTGCGGGGATTGGCGTGGTCGATGCGCGTTTGTGTTTTTACTTTTCCCGGTCCCGCGTCACTCTCTGCGGGGAGCGGTGGTCGATGCGCAAAAACCAGAGTGTTTTGCAACTCTTGGCGGCACTGGCATTGAGAACGACCTCGCTGAAAACAATTTTGCACAAAGGAACTTGCAGAGAACAAGTTTCGCAGAGAAACTTACACGGGGCATTGCACCAAGAAACATTTTGTGACGAGAGCTCGCGCAGGGAACTTGCATCCACTTGCGCGGAGAACCTCGCCAAGAGAACTTGCGCAGGGAAGCTTGAATTTAATGGAGATCTTGGGCAAAGAAACTTGCAGAGCGAACTTTGCGCAGAGGCCAGTAGCACAGAGAACGTGTTTCGCTCACTTTCTGTATCGCTTTCAGGCCACCCGTTCTTCTGATTTGTTTGTGCCATATTGCCAAGCCTACCCCTCAGCCCAAACACTCAGCCCCCCAATCTTCAAACCATTCCTCCCAAACGGGGCGCAAACCCCTCTTGGACCTGGCTGACTTGCTGAGATCTTAGCGAGGGAGCATTGGGTTTCTTTGGCATTCAGGCTTAACTTATCTAGGCTGGCTGCCTGGTTGTAGGGTTTGACTTTGTTTGGGTTGAGGCTCATTGAGGCTGATTTGTGCCAGGCCGGCTGCAAAAAAGCGCCGGCTAAAGCCATGGCTAAGCCAGAAGCACACCTAGCACAAAGCCACCAAAGTCAACCCTAAACCCATGCAGAACGTGAAACTACCCAAGGCCCGCCTTCACGATCTCAACGAATCTAAAACTCACCCAAACGAACTTTGAGCTCAAGTGAGGCCAATAGCACTTCGCCCACTCCCCGAGAGCTTGGGCCAGAGTTTGGGCAACAAAGCAGGACATCCAGGTGATATCTGAAGCAGCAAGCCCCGGAAGCCTTCCGGAACCCTGACTCAGAATTGCTCCGAACTATTTTCAAAGAAAGGTAATAAAGAAGAAAACAGGGCGTCTTTGGATGCTGAGCTTGTTAACTCCCAGAGGAAGCAAGGCCACGAAGGTTGCCATTTGTGCAACGTCCAAAACCTCCGTCTACATGTTTATCAGGGACTATGTCATATCGACCCGTGGCGTAAGCAAAACCTGCACGGCCGCGTAAGCGAAAGCACGGTGCGCGTAAGGCTGCGTAAGGAAGCGGCGTAAGGAGAGGGATGCGACATAGAAAGTCACGATACATTTTTGGACATGGCTCATTTGTGCCAGGTTCAAAGAGAGGTACCCCCTCAAAACCGAATGACTTCCCCTGGTTTCCCTGAGCGGGTTCCCTGAAAATTAGACACGCCCACATGCCTTATTTAAATGTTCCACCCCAGACGTGTTTCCATGGGGTGCCAAGACAAGTGGTGCCAGCACCAGGGAGCAGGTAGCCTACAACTTGTCCAGAGCCAAACAATCTGAATTTCGGTCTGTTACTTGCCTTGCTCTTGAACCGTCGCCTGCTCCATGTCCAATACTGACTTTGAGCCATACTGATGGACGCAACATCTAGGAAACCCAGGAATGAAGATTCCCCCGTAAATATCAACAAGGAATGGTTTTTCTACGGTCCATCCACAATACGTTTGGAAACTCATCATGTGCTGGTCTCAGAATTGGGTCCCGCCCTGCTGGACGAGACGGGAGTCTGACGAGCTACGTTGCTGGAAGTCTGCGGTTCAAGACGTAGTGCAAGGGCCATGGCCAACTGAGATACATTTTGCCGCTCCTCGCTTTTTGCTCTCCCCATGGAGTGCCGACTGCAGACCGGGGGAGAGGTGATCAAGCAACTGGACCCCTTTACCACGCCCGGCGCGCATGATACGACCTATGGTTGCCTCTATGCCATCTCCGGTACGATGCTGCTCTGCATGTTGCTGATGATTCGGCTCTTATTTAGGACCCAGTTGCCCAGTGGCACCCTTCTAGGTCCCAGTAGTGCCCTTTTTACCCTTTTTTGGGGAAGGGTTTTTCTACTAGAATAGACTACAGAAAAATACCCTTGTTCTATCCTCTCTAGCCTTTCTTCCCTTGTTTGCACGCAAGGTTTCCGTTTGACATGCACCAACAAATTGACATGCCCCCCTTTCTCCGCAACATCCACTGGGCTTCCCTATGTAGGCGCTCCTTCTTGTCGGATGCCTTCTACTTGGGCTTCTTCTGTTTGGGCTCCTTGGGCTTAGCTTTGCTCGCAGCTGCTGGGCAGACCCAGCTGGCGGGCGACAACGGCATCATGCTGGCGGCAGAGATTCTTCAATGTTTGTCCTTGGGGTGCTTACTTCTCAACAGCTGCTGCTTTGGCGCATTTTGCCAAGGGATGTTAGGACTGGCTTTTTGCAACCAATGGGTTTTCCAGTAAACCACTACAAGTTAAACTTTTAGCAGGGGAGCAGAAAGCAACCGAGGCTGCATTCTTGAAGAATTACAGGTGAGAAAAGCTGGCCAGCTTTCCACGTGGCTGGCCTGCCTTTTGGTGCTGTTGTTGGCTGTGCTGGATTTGGCCATGTCACTCGGCCCACATTTGATTGGGACAGCGAGTCTTTCCAGCCTCAGCGCGGCACTATGCATGCCGGCATTCAAGGTTGCGCACACAGCGACGAATGAAGGCGCAAACGTCTTCAAGGGGTTTCATGTGCTGCCTGGTCTTTGTGGCCTTGCTGATCGCAGCCTTGGAGCCGTGCGGCATACCCGCTGCACACCCCAGCTGCTACGAGAACTGCTTTGGTTCACCGGGCTCGCATGTCTTATGACGCCAATCCTGTCGGTAGCAGCCGCGGGTCTATGCCTTCTGCAAAGCTGCGTGCCAGACCGGTGCTCAGAAAATCTGCCACCCAAGCCCAGAACCCCATCCCGAACCTGTCGGTCGCATGTCTTTCTGAGAGATGTTCGCTCAGGGGTTTCACTCCTTGGAAGGCCGGCAAGAGAGCCAAAATCCGAACCCGGGCAGATGAAGCTTAGTAGGGGACAATCCCAGCCATAAAAAGCTGCGGATATCCGCCTTTGTATTTCCTTACATGGTTCTGGGTCAACCATTTTAATACCGGGTTTTGATTGTGACTCGAAAGTTGAAGACCCGGCCGTGCCCATGGACTCTGCCTTACGTTTCAAGTCCTTGCGACCATCGACAAGGTGATTGCTGCAACATGGCAGGGCTCACTTCCCGAGTTTCTGGACTTGCGTTTTGAGTACACGAGTTGCGTGTCAAACGCAAAGTTCGGATTGTTGTTCAATGCTCTCACACCCCGAGCTGCTTTAGGGGTGTCAAGAGGACCTATTTGGAGGCTCTAAATTCTAGCAGGACCGTTGGGGAGGTGGCTATTCTGGGAAGTCCTTTCGACTTGTGCTCACTGGCACCATTATTTTACCATTGTCAAAGTCACCGCCCAAGTGGCAGGTTGAAGGGAAACAACCCACCAATGTCTGACTTTAAACCCGTAGAAACATACAAAATAATGACCCCAGGTTGACCGGTAGCTTTTGCCACCACCCAAGCATGCCCGGCCGCTGCGGCCATTTTAATTGCTCGTGAGATTGTAGGCTAAAAGCAAAAACCTGCCCAGGGGACCCATTCAAAACAAATCAAGCAATCTTCCGACTTCATTCATTTCAACGATTTCTTTGTGGGTGCCTCCGGGTTTCCGAGCAAGAGTTGACAGTTTTAGTGGGGAACCACCAGTAAATCGATCAACTTTGATTTGGGGAAATCCAGTGACCAGTGTTTGCAAACCAGGCGACGCAAATCAAACCAGCAGTTTGCGAGCCCCCCACCATTCAATCCCTTCATACTTTCAACACCAACTCCAGCGAGGTCGCTTTAAGTGGGCTGGAGCTTCTGTTCCATCCAGAGTATTCTTGTGCTGGATGGCCAAAATCCAAGACCACTTGGGAGCCATGGCCAAAATCCATAACGTTTGTTGGTATTTGCAGGGGGGCTTCTCCGAACCCGTCTCTTTAAACTAAACGGCGGCTCCGCATCTCATGGGAAGCTCCAGCGCCCCGGCATGCAGAAAGCATTCGGAGTTCCGGTTTCGGACTTTTGACCGGTTGGGGCGTTGGTGGCGACTTGTTCAGTTGGGTGGTTCCGGTGGCGTCTCTTTTAAGTAACCGGTTTCGGACTTTTTCATTTTTCTTGGCGGGTTGGTGGCCATTTTAGTCACACCACCCCCAACAGTGCCCTTTTACCCCCTTTTTTGGTTGGGAGGGTATTGCAGTTGTGGTAGGTATGTAACAAGTTTTCACTGGGCCAATGCGCCCAAGAAGCGAGTTGGGGATGCTGTTGGGCCCTGGTTGCCATTTTCGTACCGAGTTTGGCGACTTGTTCAGTCGGTCAACCCACTCAAAAAGTGAGTTGGGGATGTTGTTGGGCCCAGGTAGGTCTATTGGTTTAAGTCGCCTAAGAGGGCCATCGATTTCTTCAAAAGGACACCTAGCCGTGTTTTTTCGGCTGTTGCACGCAGGGTACCCTCCCTAGACGGAACCTAACTGGTGGGATGGCAATGTCCTCCCAAAGCGGGGCTCAGATGGTCCTTCGGATCCAACAAGACGTAGAGGCTGTCAGTTTTTTTCTCCTTGACCGACCACTTTCCGACATGTGTTGCGTCAACTCTTTGAGTTTCTGGGCAAACTGTTGGGAAGATTGTTGCTCTGTTGCCCAGCGACAATCCTTTCTTCAACTTTTTTTGGGTAAGGGTTCCGATTCCTTCAAACTCAAACCAAAAAAGGATGCCGATTCTTATTTTCTCCATGGGGATCTGGGCAGAGGTCGTATTGACAACAAGTTTCGGCTTTGTGACTTGAAACGTTTTGGGTTTGGACCATTTTTGTGGCAAATAAAGTGGTTTTGGAGTTGAGGTCAGTTTTCCGATCGCTAGTGGGCACCCATAGCTTTCAGCTGAAGCAAAACTCCGTGGACTTTGCTTGGCCAATCTACGCCGGCGAGGGGAACCCATTCACAGGATCCCGAAAAAATCCCACCCAGCGGCTCGTTGAGGCTCTCATTCGTCCTGTGTGGCTTTGTAAGGCTCGACAGCTGTTCAAAGAGCAAGGCCGGCGTGAAAATGGAGGGGCCAAGACCAAAACGGAAACAACACCAAATCGAAACAGAGTCCCGAAATGAATCCGCAGCCCTTCAAAAAGTTCCGACAGCTTCATAAGCGTTGCTTGAAATTCGTGCTATACTATGTTTGTCATATTTGCAAAGCCCAAAATGTTGACGCAGGATTCATAAACCCGTCCCATTATTCGGGGGTGTTGCCTCCAAAAGTGGTCTGAATCCCCACTACAAGGGGACACCCCCCGATCAAAATCAACCAGGGGTGTATTAGTCCGGGGTTAACATGGGTTCCCGTAAAATAGACAGCAAAAAGAAACGGTACCAACTCATTCTAACCTCTCGAATTTGGAGGACCTAGTTGGGCACCAGCTCGTTAGATGAACTTCTATCTTGTAGGCCTTCTTGGCTCCCTCTCGAAAAGTGAGCCCCCCCAATTCCCTAAGTGGGCCCAAGACGACTGTGCTGCAGCTAGCCTCATAGTTGCAAAGCTCATAGTCCACCAGGTCGTTTGCACTCCCCAAGTCCGTGCTTGGCCGAGGTGCCGAGAGTGCTTCTGAGGCTTCCGTGCTGGGTTCCGTCAGGATAAGAATGGTCCATTCATTTGCTGCCGTTTGTTTGAGAATATGTTTTCTTAGATGTTCCCCTGCTGTGGTTTTTACAAAAACTGTTGGTTGAAAAGGAATGGATCACTGGACATGTGTTTAATATGTTTTTTCCAGGGGGCTTTTAAAGCAAATGGAAGTTTGGCAGGGACATGGGGGACTCACTCGATGTCCCACATGGCGAAACTGCTCATGGCCTTTGCCCGATGCAAGGGCCGTGAATGAGTCATGCGTTTAGCTCTCAGAGGCTCCTGGGGCTTCCAATGGAAGACCTGACCCCTCCATTAGACACCCCGCATTTGGGGGTCTCAAAACCTGGCTGTTTGAGGGCCCGAAATACATCGAATTGGGCCTTTGGGTTCAGCATGGAACCTGGACAGAGGGTTGCTGAGAAAGGGAGAGAGAGCGAGAGAGAAAATTATGCGGTAAAGTCAATTGTGTTGTTGCTTGGTTTCTCTTTAGTTGTTTTTGCTTATGTGTTGCTCTGTTTGTTTGCTTGCTTGCTTGCCTGCTTGTTTGCTTGCTTGATCTTGCTTGCTTGTTTGTTTGTTTGTTTGTTTTGTTTGTTTGTTTGTTTGCCATTTTTCAATGGGTCAAGTGACACCGTGAGGTGCCACGCCCCTTTGGCAGCCCTTTAGGCTTTCAGAACCATCTTGGCTTGCCAGTCCGATTGAAAGACGTGGAGACTCGGTCTTGGCCGAATCGGCTCTCGCCTTCTGGAGAGACATGGGGGTTGAGCAATCTTCCGTTCGGCCAAATGACCATGGGCAACTGTTCCCTTTTCGTGGGAATTCTCATTATTTCAGTGGGAACTATCTCATTGTTCGGCCAAATGTTGACCTTTTGTTAATCAACCCCCCAACTGGTTGGAGGGGGGCCTTGATTTTAAGGGGAATTAGGCAACTTTTGGAGGGGGATACCCTATGAACAAACTGGGGATCGATTAATATGGGGTCAACATTAGACCTTTTGCTCAGGCCGAGGGTCCATGAGGAACATGTGGCAAGTTTAAGGCAACCCCAGCCGGTCATGGCGACCACCCCCCCCTGCTTATAGTTGCATTTTGTCTCAACTGGGGGATCCCGTGCCAATGATATTTTTCCCTTTTGCCCCCTACTCTTCCCAAGTTGGACCATTTTATCTTGACTGCTATTAGGTTGGATCTTTAGACTTCAACTTTTTGGGAAATCAAGTTGGGTTTTCCGCACTAAACCCCCCAAAAAGTGAAACTCACTTTTTGCAGCTCGTTGCAGCAACCAAGCTATGGCCCCAAAAGGTGAACATCCGTGCCCTTGAGGCGGCCCTTGGGCAGCCAAACGACACACACAAAAGTTTTCCGTGGAATTGGAAGACAACAAATATCGAGTCCGTAGCCCACTTGTCAGCGAAAAACAAAAATCGGAACCGCCTCCCCTCCCCCCCTCCCCCCCCCCGTCGGTGTGAATTTTGCAACCTTCTTTCGGCTGTGGATTTTAGGACTTGTGATTGCACTCCCTGAGTTCCGTTTCGGACCTTAAACGTTTGGAGTTTGGACCATTTTAGTGGTAAACAGCCACTCTTGGTCCATTTTATTGTTTGTGTACTTTTCTCGGCCCAACGCCATGGGACGTGAGCTGCAGGATAAAGACCAAGTCTTCCTGTCAGGATGATCACGAGAGCCTCTCGAAGCATGAGTCCTCGGAATCCTTTCTGCGGCTCGGCGGGAACACGTGGTCAAAGGGAAGTCAAAAGGGGGTTTGAACCCCGGAAGAAAAGAACTTAGCCAAGCTCTTTGCCCTTTGGCCCGCTTAGTTCACCTGTCGCAGTAAGAGACGCGGCTGTGACCTTCCTTCCAGCCATCATCCCCTGCCCAAATGCATCAGGGGGTTGCTCCGCAGCCACTCAGGGGCCAGGTACAGGATTCCAACGCTTCCCTGGGTTGGTGAGCAGAAAAAGGGGGGGGCTTATGATTTTCCAGCGGGTGGGGTTGAGGGAGCCCTTAAGCTTCCGGCACGGGACTTTAGTCACTTTATGGGTCTGGACCGCTTTAGTGGTAGCAAAAAACGGTTTGGAAGTTTTTTGAAAAACCACTCAGGACGGGAGTAAGCCAAAAAGAGGCGAAATAGGGGTAAATGAGGGGAACACAAGCTCCGCATCAAGCATGCCCGCGTCATATTCCTGATGTGGGGTCAGAGGGCTGTGCACGTAAGCTTGTTGGTTCCAACTCTTGTAGCCTGCAGCTTCTTGTGATGAATCGCGTGATGAATCGCAGTTTGGAAAAGGCCCACCACATTGTCGAGACCGCGTAGCCTAGTTTGACAGATACGGTGGATGCATGTGGATGCCCTAAGTATTGCAAGCAAACCAGCTGGTACATGACGGTAGGATAGGAGGGCTTCCTTGTTCCCTTACGTGCAATAGGGCATCCACCGTACCGATACGCGGGGGCTGCTTCCCTCTAAGGATGGGTTTTGGAGCTGAGGTGAGAAATGCCACCTATGGAAGAGGGTGTAATATGCCACGGCACGGCTGATACCCATGCCTTAGATCCCTTGGCCCTCTGCATCGGATAAGGATATGGGCCCAATACCTGACTAGCAAACTGCCCCAAACCCAAAGGCTGAACGTATGCGCTCACGAGCACCCTACGACCCCGAGTTTAGGAATTGCAAAACAACCGTCAGTGATATGGCTTTATGGGATTTCCTTGCCCCCCTTTTGTCGTAAAAATAAGGCCATGGGTTCAATTGAGCCACAATCAAAACTTGGGCAGATGAAGCAAATAGCTGCGGCCGCCTGCTGAATTCTTTACATGGCTCTGGGTAGACCATTCTAATACAGGGTTTTGATGATGACTCATTTATGGACCGGTACAATCAGCCAAAATGCCCTCTGGATGGAAGCCGACTTGAACAGGGCTCTTTAAAATATACATTTTGCAACCATTTGAAACATAGCTTTTTTTCACCAAGTCAAGGGGAAACACCACCATTTACAAGTTGCAATGTTCAGGTGTATAATGTAAGGATCCCTGTTTTCCCCTGACTGCTACCGAATTGGCTGCAAAGGGGCTAGAAGTAACAGGAGGACCGAAGGGGCGGAGTGGATCGATCCTCGCAGGAAGAGCCCCTCCAAGCGGAAAGGCAAGAAGACCTCCAAGGACTCACGGCCACGCTCCAAGGAGCTGAGTTGGATGCCACGGATATGACCTTCCATTTGTTTAAAAAAAAAACTGGAGGCCCAGTATACTGTTCGTTTCCAATCGGGCAGAAAAAAGCGCTCGAACTCCGAAAGTGCAATTGAGCACTTTTTTCTGTATCAATTGGCCCTCCAGGTAGATTCCCTCTGCTGGTTTTTACAAGGAATCGATCACTGCTTTAGATATTTTTATGTTCCACCCAGAGGCTCCAATTCGATGTATTTCGGGCCCTCAAACAGCCAGGTTTTGAGACCCCCAAGCACCTGCGAAGTGTGTAATGGAGGGCTCGGGTCCCCTCAGGTGTGTTTCTTCTTTTAGGGCAGCCAAGATTTTCGGGGAGCTATCCATCTACTTTCACCCAGCTGCATGGCGTCAAGATGGTTTACACGACCACGTGGGACCGGAAGCACGTGGTTACTTGGAGCTTGCCAGGCTGGTAGGTTACCGCCATTTCGGAACAATGGCCATGCGCCTGAAGTACAAGGACTCACTTCCTGAGTTCATGAACTTTAAACTTTTTGGGAAGACCATTTAAGTGGCAAATATACAGTTTTTTTTTTGGGGCCATCCACTCAGCAGGTGAGAGGAAGTTGAGGAAGCATATTATAATATATCAGACACGGGGCGTATCTTCACTTGGTTTATTGCAACGTGTTCACAAGGCAGTCCCTCGGCAGGCGTTGAGGGCATGGGTTGCTCAGCTTGGACATATGAAATTCTCAGGCAGTGTGGCTGGTTACCTGGCTCGCTTCATCAAGGCCCAGGACCATCTTTGGCACAGTTTGTTTTTTTAGTGTCCACCCTGCCAATAAGTTTGCCACAGCGGCTCCAAGCCTTTTGCTTAAAGGGGTCCCAAACTCGAGGTCCGCCATGCCCGAATTCTGAACCAAGACTACAGACCCCGTATTCTGACTGTTTGGACGAAAGGACTCCAAGAAGACGGGCTCCAAGAGCTCGAAGAACTCCTCCTCTCGGTCCGAGGACGGGGAAAAAGTCAAACTGATCGAAGCGCCGGATTTCGCTTCGGAAAGTGGAGAAAGGTCAGGAAACCCGTGAGAAACCCATGGGAAACCGACCCATTGGGAAACCTATGTGAACCCAGAGCAAACCGAGCAAACCGAGCAAATTAACAGATGGTATTTGTTGACCCCGAAGTGGAGATAGTGGAGCCCGATATCCTCCTTCATGTCCACAGATGGTCCCCCAGTAGTGCCCCCCAGACCCCTTTTTGCTTGCCCAGACGCTCCCAACTTTTATGTTTCGGGCCCGCGAGCGAGGGCCCGCGAGCGCGGGCCCTGGCTATGCGACGGTTATCCGACGCTTATCCGACGGTTATCCGACGGCTATCCGACTTATCCGACGGTTGTTTGGGCACCGGGGGCCCACGAGGGCCCCGTGTCCGACGGTCCCCTAGGAGGGCAAACGAGCGTTTGGATGGGAGGGTTCCCCTACCAAAACAGAATACAGGAAAAAGTTGAAAGTGGAGAAAGGTCCCACGAAACAAGGTACCCTCCAAACAACACGAACACAGACCCATAGAAGGGGTGGTCCTTTCGACATGTTTGGGAGGTTTGGCATAAACCCCAGGTTTGACCGAATGTGAAGCTCCTGCTGTTCCAGGTGCCCCCGCTAGGTGCCCGACCTCTCACCCCTGTTTTTGTTTGGAGACCAAAATAAACGACCTCAAAAAATTGGGTACCCTTGTTCTAACCTCCCTACTGGAGGACCTAGGAAAAAAAGGCCCTTCTATGAACTTCCATGTGGTTGAGAGTATGTTTATAGGTCCCGCTTGGTTTAGGAATCGATTTCACTACTGGTATTCTTGTTCTTGAGCAAATGGAGGTTAATAGGGGGGGGGGCCCTCAAAAGTGCTCTAAGTCCAACCACTTATTGGAGGGACCCCAATCAAAATCAACTAGCGGTTCTCCAAGTAAGTGAAGGTTCGTCAGGGACAGTCCCGACCATAAATGACACTCAGGTTTTTCCCTGAAGGGTTCTGAACTGCTGGACTTTGGTTTGCCTCCGTTGAAGCGATCACCACTTTTGGAGGTCCTAAGGTTTTAAGAAGAGTAACCTGGAAGCTGATTTGGACAAGGTTCCTTTGTTTCAACCAAACATTTTGGCATGATTCACCAAATTGCTTGTGTTGGTTTTGTGATTTTTACGATTGCCTGCATCTACATGTTGATTCCTACAGTGGATGGGCCAAAATCCTTCAAAATCCTGCGGCAGTTGTTAGGTGGCCACTACTCAGGGCTTCATCCGTGCCAACTAGCGCAGGATTGCACCCATCCACAGTATGATGCTACTGACTCCCGGCACTCTGTTGCCCGTGGGGCCCTTTTCCCTTTTTTGGGGTAAGGGTTCCCCTTTAAACTCAACCAACCAAAAAAAGACACCCTTGGTTTCTTTCACATGGCCACTGGGCATTTGAGGGTAGAAGCCGTCAATGGATACGCTTGACCTGATCACCATTTGCTTCCATGCTCGCCGGACGCAGCGGACATTACATCCTTGCCCCTGAATGGGTGTCCCTTCTTGGTGGTTCCCGGCCATCCGGTTGCTTAGGTTTTTTGGTTGTTTGGGTTTAGTGGGTAGGTGTCCATTTAACCCACAAGCTTTTAGCAGGGGATCTAAGGACAACCCCAAACAGGGAGTTGCGGAAACGAGCAGATATTCCGGCCACTGCCCTTGCGACATCTTGCGACGCTTCCAAGCGAGTTATAAATGTCGACGGAGAGGTCCTTGGGGCAAGGCATGAATTTCGTGGCTGACTACTTGTTCAAGTCACAGAACGACATCATGTAGAAGAGGCCCTTCAAACTCCACTCATGAAGGGACTTCTTTGAATCGGGCTCTTTGCAAATTTGCATTGCCAGGCTTAAGGGGGCCCCTATTTCTTGTGGAGGTGTTTTCGAACCCATGCGCTGAAAGATGGAGCTCGGGGGGGGGGGGGGATCACATGCAGAGGTTGCATTGGCCAAATCCCCAGTGCCCTTTTACCCTTTCTTTTAAGAGGGTTCCCCTAGAAAAAGGTTGGTACTAACTTATTCTAACCTCTCCACTGGAGGACCTCGTTGGAGAAGAAAAACGATTTTTCAGAGTCTAAGTCTGAGCGCGGCCGGGCAGGCAGCTTCCAAGGAATTGGCCAGCCTGCTGGCACCTTGTCTGAGCTGAGGGTCTTTTTGGATCAGCTTCCAAAGTAGGAACGACACTTGTTTCTTGGTGGCTCCCAGAATACCCGGTTCCTAACCTTTTCAGCCTTTTAGTGTTTAGTGGCAGCTTCCGTATTTAAACCAGGAAAAGTTGAACTTTTAGCGGGGATCTGAGGGCAGCCCAGGTTTGGCCAGCTTTTTCGGGAGAGCGAATCATCGGGAGAGCGAATCAGGGTTAAATCGGTTTGGCCGCAAACAACCAGGAGCAAACGGGAGCTGCACCGGCCAGTTTTGTTGCAGGGTGCTTCCTTATGGCAGAACGGTTTCTTTGTCAGCCAGTCAACTCAACAGGTCGTCCGCCGACAGCGGGTCAGCCAAGAGGCCGCCCTTAAAGTTGCTGACAAACTGATAGGAATAATTAGCCCTCGTTGGGGGGGGGGGGGTAAACCAAAATGGCCGCCAAACCTGGACCCTGGACCCTGGACCCTGATGAAACAAACATGGAAGTGCACATTATTCCACCTGGCTTTGATGTCTCAGAGCCGGGCTACGCTGGGCTCCCCCACACCCCGACACCCCCCACACATTCAGCCCTAAATAAGGCCTTATGAAGAGCTCATTTGGGCTCCCTCCCCTCCCCCCCAACCCCCATGACACATTGTCCGCAAAGTGGCCTTCAATTGGAGAAATCAACCGTTTGGAGGATCCCCTTTTTCCAAACCCAGGTGAGGTTTGGGCAGAACTCCCCGGAGGCACATGGGAAGCTAAGTTGTGGAAAAAACACGTCCAAAAGATGTTTTTTGCTTTGCACTTTCATGTTTGTGGGTAAATCTCTCCTGCTATTGGGTTGGATCTTTAGACTTTGACGTTTTGGATTCCCCCCCATATTTCCTTGCCTTGCAACCAGCAAACGTTATTCGCTTTTTGCTGGGAAATGGATCTACGGCACCCGAGAAATGAGGATGTTGCAGCTGGCTTAAGGCTTAAGAACCAGTGGGTTGAACAAGTAGAGAGCAACCTGCTTAAAGCTTCCTGCAACTAGGACGCGTGCCCAAAGCCGACCTTTTAACCTTTTGGTTTTCCCGTTTTGGTCCAATTTTAGTGGAGGTGCCCAAAAGGTTAGCCTTTTATTTCTGGGTCCTTTGGGCAAGTGAGACTAGGACGTGTGCTTCATGTCCTTTGCAGTGCTGTTGGGTTGCTGACTAATCCAAGCTTTCAGCATTCTCACGGGGGATCGGGGGATCGTGCGAGCAGTTGAAGGCAGGGGTTCTACCCAGAATAAGACGCACGGATGCCGGGCATCAACCGCAAACAGGCCAAGAATGCCATGAACAGGTTTCCAGCGATCCGGTTCCTTAGCTTTTTAGCCTTTTAGTGTTTAGTGGGGATGTCCATTTAACCCAAGTCAAACTTTTAGCGGGGGATCTGAAAACGGACAGCCCAGATCGACGCACGGAGCTTTTGCCCAGTGGTGCCCTTTGTTCTGTTCTTTTGGGCAGGGGTTCCCCTTTAAACTCAACCAACCAAAAACAGACGCCCTTCTTTTCCCATGAAAATCCACTGGGTATCTGAGTGAAGGCAGGGGTTCACCCAAGGGGTCCGAGCCCGGCCAGACGAAAAAAAAGAAGCTCCTAGGTGAGCTTCGAAATCAATGCGCCGCCAGAGGTCGAGGACCCTTTTCTCTGCATCGGTCATGGGCGTCAGGTGGGTCAACTCCTTTGGTCCCCGTATAATTACCCCATGCCAGACTCCAGGGCTCCTGAAAAGATGGCCATTTTGCAACCGTTTGAAACATGTGGCTTTTTCAACACCAAATTAAAATTGGAAACCTTGCCATTTACAAGTTGCAATGTTCAGGTGTATAATCTAAGGAGCCCTGCGTCTCAGACGGATCGATGTTTCAACGAATTGTCCACCTTTGCTCCTTGTTTGGTGCAAAAAGTGGGGTCGGATCCCCCTTTGGGCCCAGTTGTCCAGTACAAGTTGATGCGCTGATCCAGCCTGGTGGGTCCCTGTCAGTTTTGCGGAAGAATGTTGATTCCGTCAAGCTTCTTGGTGACATGGTTGTCGTTGGGGAATATATATATATATATATATTATTTTTACATTTTTGCTTATTGTGGTTTAGTGGTTGAAATCCAACCACTTAGCTGCTAAAATTTGAGAATGTGTGCTCCCCAAACCCAACGTCAACCTTCTTGGTGACATGAGTTGAATCGACCGCTTCCTCAGAAAGTTGAATCGGCAATGATTGATCTGCCAACCTCAGGGCTCTTTGACTCTATGTGTTTTACGTCTCAGTTTGGGTCTTCCATGGGAGCTTCCCATGCTCGGAAGCAAACCTAAGCCCACTGCTGAAAACGGCGGTTGTTTGCCTGAGTTCCGGACAGGGACTTGGGTCACTTTTTTGGTCTGGACCATTTTAGCGAATAAAAGCCTAGGCTTCTTTTGGCCAATCCACTCAGGTGAGGGTTCTAGAATCATCTACTGCCAGCTTTGCCAAAAGGACACCACTGGTTGATCGGCAGATCAAAGTGGAATCCAAACAAAAGCATCATGCTTTTCTGAGAGGAATCTTCCTGAGACGCCTTGGTTCAGGTGTCTTGTTGTCACCCTCGGGGGGCCAAAACAAATGCGGCTGCGCTCTGCTCCAGGATGAGTTCTTTGATATCCCAGAGGGGGCCAACGCCGCGCGGATGGAGGACCTTAAGGCGATTGATTGTTTTGGACGGGTGGGTTTGTGTGTTTTTTGTTTGAGACACCCCTCCCCCCAGAATTGGTGGCGTCCATGCGGTTCTCCATGACTTGCACAAGGCAAGGTACCTTCAATCAAGGACAAGGATGCTTCCAACAACCACCTACGTTACAATTGTTTGATCGAGTCACATGCATCCTGAAGAGAGCCTATTTTGGGTTCTCAAAAAAATACTCAGGGGGTGTTTTCCTCAACCAGCTTTTAGAGAGTACTGTTAATCTTGAGAGTGACTCCTCCGAATTTTGCTTGGATGTTAGGACTTTAGCTTTTAGCCAGCTAATGGCCTTTGCATTAAACCAGAAAATGTTATTCACTGTTAGCAGGGGAGCAGAAAACAACCGAGATGACACTTTAATGGACCCAGTGTTGTCTATGGTCAGTTCTTGTGGGACTCAGGGGGTAGGCAATCAGGATGTCACTTTCATAGCCGCCTGCTTCCCAAAGCCAGGGCCTAACGGGCAAACCATACGGAGGGATTGCAAGGCTAAGTTCCAGTGCTGCACTGCACTATGTTCCTTTCTCTCTTTTTCTTTTTATGTTGGTGTTTGCCTTTACTCAGGCAACCCTTGGTTGGTGGTTTGGATTGGTGATTTGCATTTGGATTTGACCCCTTGCTTTTGTAGAGAGTAAATGGGAAACCACCCCAGGAACACCTCCAATCCCCACCAGGCTCCAAACCACCAGTCAGAGGGAAGCTGGTTTAAGTGCCAAGGCAGGGATTTCCCCTTTGCCAAGGAACAACCAGCTCAGCAATTGCGCTTCCCAACTTCCATTTGCTGAAGGGTTTCTTTTGATTTTCCCTTGTTGGGTTTAAAGGGAATCTCTCACTGGAAATCTGTATATGTTTTCCAGGCGCCTTAAGCAACTGGAAGCTCATGGCATTTGCTCGGTCGCGTCTCGGCCGTTAGAGAAGACGGCTTGCCTTTTTGGAGCAGGGAGGCAACTGCGCACCGCAGCGTGTTGCGAGAGTCGCCGCATGTACCCTTATTCCAACCTCTCTACTGGAGGTCAGAGGGAGGGAGTGTACTAATTATAGGTATAGGTAGAACTACAAAATGGCAGGCCTTCTGGGAGCTTTTTTATACCCCCCCTTCAGGTTTTGCAGGTTTCAGCACTTTTGTTGGCATGGAAGCCTTTATGCCTCCAGAACCCATAACTGAGAATGGGCGTTTGTCAAAACTGGGACCCCAAAAATGATGGCGTTCCTTCTGCTTGTACATCAAACCAACATGAAAAGAGTAGCGTCATTGGGCAATTCACGCCTCAGCAAACGGAAGCCACCATTGTGCCGCCATTTTGTGGTTCTGCCTGATTTCGGGGGGGGGGGAGGTTATAGAACACTCCCACCAGAAGGCCTGCCTGATGCGCTCCTTGATTTTCCATCTTGGCCCCAAGGCCTTGGTAAATGGAACCAAGTCGTAAGGTGGGAGCTTCCCATGTTAGCCTTGGGGAGGGTCTGGGCCGCCGTCGACCGCCACTTTCGCTCGCAGGTGGAGCTGTCCAAACCCCACAGCGCGCTGAGGCTCCGCATCAAGGACGAGAGTTCGAACGCGGCTTCGGGTCTTCGGGTTCGGTGAGGGACCCCCCCCCGGGACCCGTGCCAGGGACACGAGCCGATTTTTTGCAACCGTGCCCTAAAAAAAATGCATACCGTAAAAGAAGGAGGCTGCAACATAGGACCCCTTCAGTGTCCACCATACGCCCCTTTCCCCCCCCGAAGTCATTTCCTGAGTTAGTTCAGGGGCTTTAAAAACTCTTTGGGTCTGGACCATGTGGTAAACAGAAAGTTTAGACTTGTTTGGGCTCAGAAAGTCAGGGAAAGGGACAGGGCGATGCTTCCCAGAGAGAGTCAACATAAGCCATCGCACTTCGAAAATCTACTTGCGCATCATGTCAAGCAAACAAACAAACAAACAACAGCGAGCCAGGGAAGAGTCGAGACTCCATTGCGTTGCATTTCTGCATGCCCTTCCCCATTGGGCGACTGGGTGTGCTTGCGTGTGCCGATGCGGCAACAACTGATCAAGCATGCGTGGGGAATGCTCCTGTACTTGGACAAACGGTCTCTGGCCATTCAAGGGAGCTCCTCCGACTGAGCATCTTGGCTTTAAGAATATGTTCCCCTTTTGGTTGTAAAAGGAATCGATCACTGCTGGAAACATTGATAAACATGTCCTCCAAGGGCTTAAGCAAATCAAAGTATTTGATTGTTTCACACCGACCAACCATCATGCTCACACCACAAAAGCTAGAACCTATGTTGCTATACAGCCATAATGTTTACACCAACATGTTCCACGTATGCTTAAAACCCTCACTTGTTCAAAGCCGACCTTTTGACCTTTTGGTTCTCCTTTTCGGGTTCCCATTTTGAGTAACGGGTCCCAAAAGGTGATCACCTTGTAGTTCCAAGCCCAAACTGAGCCACTGAGCAACATGAAGATGCATGCAGCATGCACGCCAATTTCAAGCCGATCGAAGACAACCACATTTCATGAACACCGAACAAAGACAGACACATGGCTGGCAACAAAAACAATGAACCGACAAAAAAATAAACCAAAAAATGGAACTGACAAAAACCAAAAAAGCACCACCCCGCCTTTTTTATCGGGTGTTCCCAGGGCCCCCCCGGTGTCCACCTTTAAAGCCGCGAATCCGTTGCCGCCGCGTCGCTCGGAACTTCCCGGGGAAGCGCGCGCTGGGAAGGACCGCCTCGAGCGCGCCATTGGCAGCGACGCGGTGCAGCGCCTCGGCGAGGGAAACTTCGGGGGGGCAACGCTGACGCGCAAGGACGCCAGTTGCACCAGGTATAACTATGCTTTGGTGCTATGATCACTATGTCAGATGCTATTTTTGTAGTGAGATGGTTTTGGATCTGGGAGGGGAGAGGGAGCCCCAATAAGGCCTTATTATATATATATATATATCCAGGGGCTACTTGCCATAGTCCATGGTGTTTTGTCATGTTGAAGTGCACTAACCTGTCACTGGGTTGAGATGCACACACACACACACACACCCTATATAACCTGGTTAGCGCCGTAGTCCATGTTTTTTTTTGTTGGTATATTGGGAAATGATTAAAGAACCCCCTGATGAGTGGTTATATCACTAATAGGGGGATACTACTACTACTACTAGTTAACAGGGGGATTGCTACTACTACTACTACTAAGTCATTGTATAAACCAGTTCCACCACTCGGGTCTGGACCATTTGAGTGGTAAGCCGACAAGTTCAGAGTTCTGGCCAATCCGCTCAAGAAATGAGACTCGTGAAGTTGGTTATATCCATGGGTTATTAGCCAGAGTTAAATTGTAACAACCTGCTTAGCTACTTGGTTGGTCGACCAAGCATCGGTGTGTTTTCTTTGAAGGGTGGCCCTTTTGAAAGCCATAGGAAAACCACAAGGAAAAAGGGTACCCACCAGAGAAGAACAGACCATCATTATACAAGGGACCCTATGTTTCCCATTTGGTCTTTTTAAACATCACCTTTGGCCACTTGAAATGAGTTGCCCGCAAAAGGGCGAGGTTCAAAAGGATCAAACATTTTGACCCTTTTGGCTTGTCTTTTTGGGAAACAACCCTCGAAAGAGTTTCCCTTTCGAAGAACCCGCGATGTTTGTTTTGTGCTGAGGGTCCGAAATCGACTCGGACGCGAGTTTCTTTGACCGCACGGCCTTTCACGCTTCTCCTTGAGCGGGGTGTTTGCACTTGGTCCATGTCCAGTGTCCTTGCTCCTTTTGGGACCGGGTGTTCCCTCACCGTGACTTCTCCCACCTGGCAGTTTGGCATGCAGCGTCTTCATGCACTTCCATGTCCCCTTTGGCTGTGCAGTCCGCGCCTGGCGCCCTCTGGGCTCAGGCCTGGGTCGCTATGTCTGTTTTGTTTGTTTGGCTTGCTTGTTTGTTTTTGTTGTTTTTTCTCGCTTGCCTGCGCTTTGGTTTGTTCGGCTTTTGCTGACCTGGTTCCTGTGGAGGTGAAATGGGAAGCCAATCCCCGGGCTCCAAAGTAATCTGGGTGAATTATAACGACCTCACACGACCGAATTCACCCCAAATGGTGGTTTATGTGGGGAACATCCTCCCAACCACCGCAAGTTTCAGATTGGTGAAATATAGCTGTGGGTCAAAAATAGGCACCCAAAATTGAACATAGACTAAAACCTGCGGTCTCCTGGTGGTTTAATCTTGACCTATACCCATATCATAATTCACCCAGACTAATTCGGGAGAAGCTGATTTCTCTGAGCTTCAGTGAGGAACTACGAGGTGCCGGACGTGCCGCTGCCGCTGCCAAAGACACTTATCTCACGCAGAGGGGTGAGATGGGCGGACCTCACAGCCAGTGGCTGCGAAACGTGTGTCCTTGTGCTTTGTTTTTTTGAGGGGGGGGTATTCCTCTCTTTGTTTTGTGAGGGGTTCCCTTCAAAGTCAAGTTTTTTGGGAAGGTGTCCCTTTGAAATCAACCGCAAATTATCTATGTTGTTTTTTTTTGTACGTAGGGGTTCCCTTCAAAATCATTCTTCTTAGAAAAGTTTCCCTCTTAAATTCAACCGCATAAGAGTACCAACTATTTGTTTGTTCTTCTCCCCCATGGCCACTGCGAGTTTAGGCTGCTGAGGTTGGCAGTAAATTGTGTGACGGAATCGCAAGAAAGTTACAACTTGTTTTGATCAGTCAACTCAGCAGATCGGGGGGTTCAATATCATTTTCGGGGTCTCACTAAAATCGTGGTGTTTCCCCTTAGCGGCTTAGAGTAATTCCCAATGGTTTCCCCCCATAGTCACTGTTTCCCCTTACGGTGAGGGGGTGCTAAGATTATATGTTTTTTGGGGTGCTCTCAAACCAGCAATCGGAGTATCTAGCTTTGGCTGTCCCACCTAGGTTGCTAACCACTTACTTGGCCGAACATCCAAGTAGTCAAACATCCAAAAGGTTTGGCTAAGTATATCCAGGCCCGGGCGAGTGAGCGTGGCTCTCGTGTTGGTTTGGGCGCCTGAAGCGGCGTCGCGTCTCATGGCGCTTAGCTGTGGGCCTTGAGCAAGTGAAGCAACCGGTTCCTTATCTTTGCCGATGCCAGGGACAGTGGCGGAGAACGGGGGAAAACGGGGGGGGGGGATCATGAACTCACTCACTAAACTCCGGCAACGGACCTTAGTCACCTTCAAGTTCGTACAGAAACAGTTTCTAGGTCCCCCAGTAGTGCCCTTTTTTGGGGGAGGGTTCCCCTATTAGAATAGACTAAAAAAAACGATACCCTTATTCGAACCTCTCTACTGGAGGACCTAGGTTTAGACTTGTCTTGCCAATCACCTCAGCTAAGGAACATAGTTTTGCATCCTTGGTGTGGGGATCCCGTGCTCGTCCATTCGTGTTGGGTTTTTCTGGGTGTAGGGTTGTATGTTTGGGCCAGATGCCCAAGGTATGTCTTATTCCCCGTTGGGCGAAATTGTGGAATGAGGACCCCCCCCCCGTTCTGCAGAATGATTTACGTTGTCACAAGTGGACAGTGGAAGTCAGGAGTTCGGGAAGGACGGATCAAGACAGCCCAAACAGGGGGGACAAGAGAAGGCAAACCCATGAGGGAACCCCTAAGTCAGACAGGGGACCCCAACTCAAATCCTATGCAGTGAACGGGCGGGCCCTTTAGCATCTGTTTTTGGGCAAACCCCTTGTCCTTGGATGCTCTTGAATCTTTAGCCTTCATTCTGTGGAATTCCAGTTTTCCCCATGCAACAAACAGTTCGAAACCTTCTGTGGGTTTGAGATCGGGGCTGGGAAAATGAAGGGCCCCCTTGAAAAGGGATTCCCTGACACATTTCTTTGGGGTTCATTCTCCCAATGTGGCAAAAGAACCGCCCCGGTTGAGATCTGCTCTTGAATCTTTCGCCTCCAATTGTTCCCTGGACGCTTCTGTGCAACTCAGATCTTTCTTACTGCAGCCAGTAACAAAAAATCAGATATCTTTAGCCTTTGGCTTCTGTGAAATTCATTTTTTCCCACTGCAGCAAGTTGACAATAATAATAATAAAATGATAATAATAAAACACGTTTGAGGGGCAGAGATCTGGTGCCCGAGGAGCAAATACAAGAAGGACTTCACCATTCACCAGGAGCTGTCCCTGCGGGAGGAGCCCAAGAACACGGGCAACGCCTACTTCATGCAGGGCTTCTCCTCGCGCCTTGCACCGAAAATGGCACGAGAAAACGCTGGGGCCTGGGAAAACGGCCGGAGGGGGGGGGTGGTTGGGGTGAACTTGCTGACTTGGAATTGTGGGCTGGGGGCTGGACGTTGAGACTGGGCTGGAGATGAACACTGGGCTGGGCTGGGAGCCTGAGGGGGGGGGGAGTCTATTTTGCAGACTCAAACCCTAAGTACAGGAGGTTGCAAAATTGGCTCTAAGTGTCCACCAAGAGGTTCCCGGGCTTCACAGTTCTCAGCGTCACCCAGTTTCTGACTTGTGAACTCGGCCAGAAAGGGGCTTGGTGAAATGTCCAGGCCGTGCCTTTTGAACGCAGATCGAGCTCCGTGCCATGTAGCTGTTTTTTATTTCACACATCAATCACCTTGTATGTTTAGGTGAACTGGGCTTCCGTTTGAAACGCCGAAAAGCATGAACAGCCTTCGGACACTTTGCTGGCCCAGAGGTTTGGGGCCGGTTGGGGATTCCATCTTAAAACCAACTCGGGGCTGGCGTTTCATTCATATCTTTGCCCAAGTTGAAAGCATGGGGGACGGTAGCTCGTGACTCAGCGCTGTTGGAAGGAGAAACCCTGAGGGCAACTCAAAGGACCCAACTGGAGGCGGTGGTTGTTTGGCGCATTTCGCGGGGTTTTTTTCAACCGAAAAAGCAAGCACATCTCATTCCCCGAGTTTCTGGACTTGAGCCGCTTTCTGGATCTGGTCGATTTTGGTGGTCTATGTCGACCGGTGTTCAGATGCGGGTGAAAACAAATGGGACCCCGTTTTGGTAGGTGCACCACCCATTTTAGAACCTATTTTAGTGGGGATTGGGATGTTCACGGGGGGTACGATTTGGCTTTTTGACCCATGGCCACGTGTTCTCCGAGCAAATTTTGAGACCCAGGCAGACGGCGCCCTTCATGGGCGTGCGCCCTGACCTGCTGCCGGTGATCTCTCAAGGGAAGGCGCGCAAACCTTCGCTTTCGCCGGTCGAAGGGGAGTCGACGAGTCGACGGGGTTTTCCTGGGTCACTATGCTGGTTACCAGGGGGTTTCCTTTGGGGTTTCCTTTGGGGTCGACGGAGGCCAACGTGGTCAGAGTGGATTGCTGACTTCCTGAGTTCATGAACTTTAAACTTTTTGGGGCTGGACCGTTTTGGTGGTAAAAATAAGGTTTGGACTTTTTTTGGGCCATCCACTCAGCCAGGGAGATGCTGGTTCTCAGCGTGGGTGTGCGGCTTTGTGTATCCCAGCAGCAACGCCACCGACGTGTTGTTTCTTGAGGGTTTCTTCATCACGCAGGTTGACCACCTTGCCGCGAATTGGTGGTTTGGAGCCATTTGGCTTCATAGGGTGCTGGCTGGACTCTATGCTTTTCGGAAAGCAACAAGTTGTTGGGCGTTTGTGGGCCAATCTACTCGATCAGTGAGTTGTAACCGTTTACTAAAGCCAACACATGCACAGGGCCGTTGGTCCTTCGACCTTTCGGATAATTGAGTGACATGCTGGTGCAATAGGCAGGGAATGAGACATGGAGTAACGGTTATTTTAATCCAACTGGTGGCTTCCTGTATTCAGCAATCCCCAAAAAAACTGGTTTTCATTCAACCACATCCCCTACCTATCGCACCGTTTCGCGTTTCGCTAGGTGGGCATTGACAAGTCGATGCTGCCGGCACTCTATCAGCCCTTCCGAAAGGACAGCGAGCATCCCTATGGCCAGGTCCCTAGCGCCAGCTAGCTTTTTTCAGTAGTGCCTTTTTTCACCTTTTTTTTGGTTGGGAGGGTTCCCCTACTAAAAGAGACTACAGAAAAAATGGTACCTTATTCTAACCTCTCAAATCTGGAGGACCTAGCGCTGTCCCAAAAAAGTGTGCAGGAGGGTGACCCAAACAATGTTAACCGGGCTGGAGAGTTGTTGATTGGAGGAGGGGAGATTTCGACCCCTGGAGATCTCCATTTGTGGCAACCCATATTCCCTTTGGGAAAGACCAGATAAGACTAGATACATGAAAATTGGGGACCACCCCCCTCCCCCTCATAGAGGGGATGCCCTTAAGTGGTGGTTTGGATTGGTGGCTTGGGGAGTTGAAGCGGAAAGCAGCACCTCCAAACCACCGGAATTCGGCTCGTTGGAAGCTGAGTAAAGGGTCCCTCCGTTTGACACCCCGTTTGCTTGGCTGACTGGTTGCGCAACCCAGTTGCCACCATTAGGTCAAAGGTTGATATAACCACCATTATTTACGTAAGAAATGGTATCATCCAAATTGGGTCAACCATTCTTTTAATGCGAGCCAGCAGCAAAGCAAAGAGTGTTGCAACAGGCGCGCACACACA